GGATAAAGGAGAAGATAGGTGGAGAGGAGACAGACAGGTCAAAGAGGTGAGGTTGGAGCCAGTAAAGGTGAATGTAGGTGGGGAGTTAGGGACCTACATTCACCTTTACTGGCTCCAACCCCGCCTCTTTGACCTGTCTGTCTCCTCTCCACCTATCTTCTCCTTTATCCATCTTCTATCCGCCTCCCCCTCTCTCCCTATTTATTTCAGAATCCCCTTCCCCTCCCCCATTTCTGATGAAGGGTCTCGACCCGAAACATCAGCTTTCCTGTTCCTCTGATGCTGCTTGGCCTACTGTGTTCATCCAGCTCTACACCTTGTTATCTCAGATTCTCCAGCATCTGCAGTTCCTGCTATCTCTGTAACAACGAGATTAATATCCATTTGGACGAATGCAGTTTAATGAAAAAAACCCTCCCAGCTTGGTTATTTTTAAGGGCAAATCACACTTAACATACACACTGGAGTTTGTTGACAAGCTAACAAACAAAAACCAGAGAAGGTTGTTGAGGACAGTGTTGTTGATGTGATGAATAAGGATTTTCCAAATATATTTGATGCTTAGTGGACTTGTGAGCTCATGAATGAAAGAGACTGTAGCAACATGGATATGAATCATAGAATAGAATCCTTACAGTGTGGAAGCAGGCCATTCAGCACATCAAGTCCACACTGATCCAGTGAAGAGCATTCCACCCAGACCCAGCCTGCTACCCTATCCCTCTAACTCTGCATTTCCAATAGCTAAAAATACCCAGCCTGCACATCCCTAGATCAATTTAGCAAGGCCAGTCTACCTAACGTGCACATCTTTGGACTCCAGGAGGAAACCGGCGCAAACCACAGACACGGGGTGGGGGGGAAACGTACAAACTCCACACAGATACAGTCACCCGAAGCTGGAATCAAACCCAGGTCCCTGGCACTGTGAGGCAGCAGTGCTGACCATTGAGCTACCATGGCTCGGTGACAGGAAGCAGAGTGTAATGGCTAACAGATGTGTTTTCAGGCTGGGAGAAGGCTTGCAGTGGATTCCCCAGAGGACAGTGTTGCTTTTCCTGATCATATTAACAAACTAACCTTGGTACACAGGTGCACATCTTCAGAATTTGCAAGTGGTATTAAAATTCGAAGCCTTGTGAACTGTGGGGAGGATAGTTTAGGACTTCAAAAGGCCGTAGACAGGTTGGTGAATGGGAAGACAAGTGGTAGATGAAATTTAACAAAGAGAAGTGTGACGTGCTTCATTTTTGTGGAGTAAATATGCAGAGACAATATAAGATAGAGGTTACAATTCTAAAGAGGGTATAGCAGTAGAGAGACCTGGGTATATATATGGTAAAGTCTTCGAAGGTGATAGGACAGGTTAAGAGAGTAGTGAATAAAATGTATAGATCCTAAGCTCTATTAATAGGGACAGAGAGCACAAGAGCAAAGAGGTTATGTTAAACTTATAAAGAACATCGGTTTGGCCTCCACCAGTGTTACAATCAGTTTTGGTTGCCAGACTTTTAAGGAAAGACATTGAAGAAAGTACAGAAAAGACTCAGTAATGTGGTTCCAAGGATGAGGAACTCCAGTTTACAGACATAACTTTTAGAACTCAGACTATGTTTTATGGAGAACAGAAAGTTGAGAGGAGATTTGATTAAGGTGTTTAAAATCACGAAGGCTCTGGGTGGAGTAGAAAGGGAGAAACAGTTCCCATTGGTGGAAGGATTGAGAATGGGAGGACGCGGGTTTAAGAACATTAGCAAGTGGCGACATGAGAAACTTTTTTCATGCAAGTGCTTAGGGTCTGGAGCGCACTGCCTGGGATTGTGGTGCAGGCAGCTTCAATCGAGACTTTCAAGAAGAGATTGGATTATCGTCTGAGAAGGAAGAATGTGCAGGGTTACAGGGAGAAGGCAGAGGAATGGCACTGGGTGAATTGTTCTATCACAATTTGGGGCTATCTGCTAATTGGCTGACTGCTGTAACTTTTTTACGATCAATATTTCTGGCCGAATGCAAAGCCGATGTGTTTCATGTTGCCATGGGGAAGCAGGCATAGGAAACCAATGTTGAGATCAGGTTACGGGCTTCCCTACAAATGAATGTATATCACAGACAGAAATTCTAGGTGGTCAGCAGAGAGGACTGGCTATTTTGCTTTACAATGTACCACAGCATGAGGGAGAGGAATGGTCTGTAGTTGAGGAAATGCATTCTACAACCTTCTGAAGGGAGGGTCACCCTGGCGTGTGAAATATCATCAGGACAGGCTTACTGCTTGCTCGCTTTGGTTTAAGAAACTCTGAAAACTGGGGGAGGGGACGAGTGGCAGTCACGCCAAGTTATTGGTAACAAAATTAAAATTTGTGAAGCAATCCATGTTTTAGCAGTTCTTGAGGCACAGTAATAACATTAGCTCCTTCCATCATTAATACAGATGTACCTCCAACAGCTGGTCACTAGATGGTGATCTGGTCAATATTTGTCCTGGCCAATTTAGTGAACTTTCATTGAACTGCCTCAGATGCAGATTAAATCTCCCTTAAGCATGGAGACCAACGAAGCTAATCACATCTCTGCTCTGCAGCCCAGTCTGTCTCTGCTCATGGCCTTTAACAGTCAGGATCAGTGTCATTAGTTAGGGAGAGAAATTGTTCCACGTCTGAAAAACCCTTCAGTTCAACGGAAGTCTAAAAATCCCACAGCCCTCCCAGTCCATAGATAAAACCCCATCGGAGCCAATGTTGTTAGATTTTGCTTACTGGTAAAATGTCTCTGGGTTGATGGTGTGATGGCAGTCTTGGAATGGTCCCTGAGGGTCTGTAATCGCCCCGCAGTAAGCCGTACTGCTCATCTTGGCCAGCTGGTCAGGGCTGCACCCTTCCATAAAACCTGTCTCTGGCTTGGGACCAGTGTCCTCACCGACGATTTCACGCCTGCAACACACAGAAATCGCAACTAAGCAATGGGAAGAAAGATCCTGCGATGAAGGACAGGCCGGCAGCTTACACCCTGCATGGCAGCTCACCCAACAGCAGGCTGGAGGAGACCCTGATATCTCAGAGTTATACAGCATTGAAGCTGAATGTTCGGTCCATTGTACCCATTGCTGGTTCTTTGAAAGATTTCACCAATTACACCTCTCTCCCCGCTTTCCCCTTGACAGCTCACCCAGTCGGACAAGAGATTTGACAATTTTGCATTAGCTGCTCTAATCGAGGGTTAAAATGATCTGGTTTCAGTGGACAGAAAACTGTTGCTCAAGTGTATTGACTTGTAGGAAAGCAGCCCATTACCACCCTTCTCAAGGGCTACTCGGGGATAGGCAATAAATGCTGGATCAGCCAGCGACATCCACATCCTTGAAGTGAATTAAAAAAAGGCAGAATTGGTAGGAGTAACTGTAGGCAAAGGATCAATCAAATGATTTACTCAAATAACTTGATGGCGCCCACTATAGCCTTAGGCAATCCCAAACTCCGCATTGATGGAAAAAGACACATATTGTTGAAGTTTCTTGATCAGGACAATTCGCAAGAATACCAACATAAAGGGGGAACAACGCGTTACACTGCATGCAAAGAAGGTGCTAATTAGTTGGCAACTGGACTCTGATTGGTCAAAGCACTGCCATGGAGAAAGAACCCAATTGGACGATGACCGACAGTTAATGGCCGAGCTTTGTTTAAATTTTAATCAGGTGGCTTGACTCTGAGTGATCAAGCCAAGGCTTTCCCATGAGCAGCGTAATTATGGCCAGGTTATCCATTTTAGCGATGTTGGTCATGAGATAAGTTCTGGCCCCAGTGTCAGGGAAAAGTTCTGCCTCCAAAACCCCCTTCCCCATCCGTCTTTGAGAGAGTGCTGCAGATCCCTTCAGACTCACCTCTGGAGGCATATAGCAAAGGTAGCACCTCGGACACTGTTTTAGTACGTCCCCCGGGAACGTCAACCCTAAATTTTGTGTTCAAGCCCCAGAATGAAAATTGGATCACAACATTTTGACCCAGAAAGGGTGAAACCCACTGTGTCGTGACTACATTGCAGAAAGATGGTGGTGCTTCCCTCACTCCTAACTCAGTCTGGAGAATTTCCACTGATGGGGGAAGCACGATTTGAGCCAGTCAAGGGGAGGAGGTGGTCTTGTGGTATTATCACTGGGCTGTTAATCCAGAGACCCAGCTAATGTTCTGGGGACTCAGGTCGAAATCTCGCCACAACAGATGGTCGAGTTTGAATTAAATTTTAAAAAAAAAAATCTGGAATTAAGAATCTAATGATGACCATGAATCCATTGTTGGGAAAAACCCATCTGGTTCACTATTGCCCTTTAGGGAAGGAAACTACCATCCTTACCTGGTATGGCCTACGTTTGACTCCAGACCCACTCTTAACTGCTCTCTGGACGATTAGGGAAGGGCAATAAATGCTGAATAAAAAGAGGAAAAAAACTACAGTCTATCTGAATGAAAGGAACCAGATTGTTTTCACTGGTGTCCATGACAAACATTTAGCTTATCAGTTCAAAGGCCTAATGTCTTTATCCTCTCTTGGGATGTGGGCGTCACTGGCGATGGCAAACATTCAGTTTCCATCCCTAATTGCCCTTGTACCTAAGTGGTTTGCTCAGCAATTTCAGAGGGCAGTTAAGAGCCAACCACATTGGCTATGGGTGCAGAGTCACACAAAGGCCAGACCGGGTAAGGAATCCCTAAAGAAAAGTGAACAAGATGGTTAGCAATCAATAGTCATTATTGTGGACACCATTACTAGGAGAAGTTTGCAATTCCAAATTTACCGATTTTTCAAAATTTAGATTTCCATGGTTGGCGCTGTTTGTGGGATCTTGCTGTGCGACAACACAAGGCCACGTTTCCTATGTCACATTGGGACTCCATTGGTTGTAAGTCTCTTTGGGAGGTGCTCAGGTTGTGAAAACCTTAAGATGAGGTTTTTTCCTACATAGTCGAGCACTTATCAAACTTACAGGACCCTGGTCGGAGCCCTGAATGTCGTGTTTCCCCTTCACTCCTACTCACCTGTACCTCTGCCTGTTGGGTTCCTGAGGCTTCTGCCTCATCCGGCTATCTTCGTCACCCTCATCATCATCGTCATCTCCCTCCCAATTGTGGTCATCATCCTTCTTGTCCTCCACCTTCCAGCTGTTCCCGAACACTTCCAAGCTGGAAACCCGTGTGCCATTGGGCAATGTGAAGTCATTCCTGTACCTACCATCGTACGTGCCGCACAACCCTCGGACTTTTTTCTTGTACAGGCTCGGGATAATAATGTCTGGAGGAAGATAAGAGGGTTGGGTGAGGCAGCACATTCATTTGTTGAAGGGACGGGAGTGTCATTGACAGGGTCTTTAGGCCTCACAGCCCCAGAGACCTGGGTTTGATCCCACCCTGGGGCGACTGTCTGTGACAATGTGTACATTCTCCCTGTGTCTGTGTGGGTTTCCTCTGAGTGCTCCAGTTTCCTCCCACAGTCCAAAGATTTCTGGAAAATGAACGGTGACAGGGATTGGGTGTCGGGGCGGGTCTGTACGGGAAGCTGTTCGGAGGGTCGGTATGGACATGATGGGCCAAACGGCCTGCTTCCACACTGTGGGGATTCTATGTTGACCCCACAGCGCCAAATCACCAGCACTGGACACATGTCCCCATCCTACATTAACCAAGATCATTTCAATATTTGAGATCCAGACAGTGACTTGGCAACAGGTTAGTGTCACTATCTATAAAATTCCCAAGGTGTTTTTTCTCTCAATCTTATTTATCTTGGAGAAAGTGTGGCAGGTCTCCCCCAGACGGGAAAAGAAATATTTTTTAAAAAGCAGCAATATTGGGAAATAAATGTACTGGCTGGACTAGCCCTCCACTTTGAAGCTGGCCAGATCACTGTAAATCATTCGCCAGTTTTACTGCTTTCTCCTCCCAGGTTTTCAATTCGGCTTGGCCACTCCAGGAGTCAGTTGTGAGGAGACTGGGTTCAACTGGGGATTCAAATGGACCAAAATGGTGGCTCGCAACCGTCACCGTGTTCTGGCCACAGACAAACCAGGCTTGTTGAAAACAATTCCGTATCTGGCCGTGGTGGGTTTTGAACCCACAGTTTCACGGGGGGCACAACTCAGGTGCCCATTGGCCCACCACACCGAGACATTGAAGGCCACGCCACACCAACTGAACTCCGGCGCAGCGGCCATTTTGCAAAGCTCCCTCACCTGCATTTTCTCTCCCGTCGAAGTTGACCGAGAGGCCAAAGTCCGTCTCCAGGTAGAGGGTCTGGGCTCTCTGGTAGACATGGAAACCTTCACGCGATTTGTAAGGTGGTCTCACCCTTTCGTCATCCAGCTGTGTCAGGAAGGAAGGTGAAGAAGATTATTTCAAAACGCGGCCGGGATGAGGAAACAACCTGTTTGCGGAAATCCAGGACAGCAGAACAAAGGACAAGGCCTCGAGTGGATTGAGAACTGAGGCCCAACTGAACAGTCCAACATCAGCGGAGAAGCCAGAAACCAAATAAGAACTGGTGTAAGATGTCTGTGCTACTTAAAGTTCTTGGTCTTTTAGCCATCATAGGCCGCTCACTTGAATGGTTGGAATTTAGGGACGGACAGTAAGTGCAGACCTAGCCTGTGCCCATGTCCCATGAAGATTTAAAAAGTGTTACTGCATAATTGCCCATTTAATAGTAATAAGACAGGACAGTATTTTGGAAAAAGACATCCAACAAGTCTGTTTAATTGATCCCACATAGCCATTTCCTGCCAACTTGCCACCTACTGATCGTCTCCTGCCTCCATGATTGCACCTTATAGAGTCATAGGTGATGAAGGAGCAGCGGTCCGAAAGCTTGTGATTTCAAATAAACCTGTCGGACTATAACCTGGCGTCGTCTGACTTTATCTACCCCAGGCCAACTCCGACAACTCCTTGTCACTAGCTGTTGTGATTGGCCTATCTTCAGAAAAGCTCTCCACAGAGAGCTGCTAATGCAAGGTAACATTACAATACCATTGTACAGGATCTTGGATAGACCACACCTGGGGTATTGTGTGCAGTTTTGGTCTCCATTGGTGTCAGCAAAGATATTTTGCCATCAAGGGAGTGCAGTGAAGGTTCACAGCTGAGTCCTGGGGAGTGTTGCTGAGCAAAGAGACCTTGGAGGTGCAGATTCATAGTTCCTTGAAAGTGGAGTCGCAGATAGACAGGGCAGTGAAGAAGGCATTTGATACGCTTGTCTTTATTGGTCAGTGCATTGAGTGTAGGAGTTGGGAGGTCATGTTGTGGCTCTACAAGACAACGGTTAGGCCACTTTTGGAATACTGTGTTCAATCCAATTCAATATAGGAAAGATACTGTTAAACCTGAAAAGTTGCAGAAAAGATTTACGAGGATGTTGCCAGAGTTGGAGGGTTTGAGCTATAGGGAGAGGCTGAATAGGCTGGGGCTATTTTCCCTGGAGTGTCGGAGGGTGAGGGGTGACCTTATAAGAGGTTTATAAAATCACGAGGGGCATGGATTGAGTGAATAGCCAATGTCTTTTTTTCCCAGAATAGGGGAATCCAAAACTAGAGGGCATAGGTTTAAGGTGAAAGGGGAAATATATAAAAGGGACCTAAGGGTCAACTTTTTAATGCAGAGGGTGATGCGTGTATGAAACGAGCTGCCAGAGGAAGTGGTGGAGGCTGGTAAAATTACAACATTTAAAAGGCATCTGGATGGGTATATGAATAGGAAGGGTTTAGAGGGATATGGGCCAAATGCTGGCAAATGGGACTAGATTAATTTAGGATATCTGGTCAGCATGAATGAGTTGGGCCAAAGGGTCTGTTTCTGTGCTGTATGATGCTATGACTGTATGACCAGACATGTTCCCAGGGATGGTGGAACTGTCCTATGAACAGAGATTGGCCTGTACTGTTTAGAGTTTCGAAGAATTAGGGGTGAGCTCTTATTGAAACTAAACAGAAAGTTGCAGGTAAAAACCATCCCGTGGCTGGAGAGTTTGGAACCGGAGAACACAGTTTTAAAAAAATTAGGGGAATGCCGCTTATGTCTGAGATGACGAAAAAACTTTTGTACTTGGAAAGTTGCGAGCCTTTGGAATTCTCTACCACAGACGGCTACGGAAGCTCAGTCTTTGAGTATTTTTGAGGTAAAGATTAATAGATTTCTGATTCCCAATGGCGCAGGGTTAAGGGACTGTGTTGGGCATTGAAGCGTTCGATCAGCCTTGATCGTAGTGAATGGGTAGGACAGGCTCAATGGACCGAATGGCATCATGTTCCTGTGCCAGAGAAACAGTAAAAAGATGCCCTCACCAGGAAACGTTTCTTCTTGTGGAATTCGAGGGAGTGGCCATAGACGTTGATGTAGACCGCAGACAGGTAGGAGACCTTTCTGTTCCTGTTCCTCACTTGGTTCTTGCCTTTGATGTTGAATGGCTGCAGGGTTTCCAAAGTGTTGAGGGAGGTGACCAGAGTGTAAGTGCCCTTGCCTTGGAAGTGGTGGGCCAAGCCGTCAAAGGTCAGGTAGTGAGGGTCGCCCGAGATCAGGCAAGTCTCGAAAGCTGGTCAGAGGCAAACAGAACAGAATTACAACCATCGTATTGAAGTGAAGACAAACTGAGATTGTTAACGGAGAAAGGGTTGAGTGGGGGGGCTGCTGATGGAGGTGATCAAAATCATGAAGGTTCTGACAGAGTTAATAAGGAGGTCCAGTCTTCCAGTCACTCATAGAATCCCTATAGTGTGGAAGCAGGCCATTTGGCCCATCTGGTCTGCACTGACCTTCCCATCCAAACCCACCCCTCTATCCTATTCCTGCACCCTTGCATTTCCCCTTGGCCATCCTAACCTGCACATCTTTGGACAGTGGGAGGAAACCCGCTCAGACACGGGGAGAATGTTCAGACTTCACGCAGACAGTTGCCCGAGGCTGGAATTGACCCTGCGTCCCTGGTGCCATGAAGCAGCAGTGCTAACCACTGAGCCAACGTTCTGACTTGGTAACTTCTATCTCTGGGCTAGGTGCTGGTGGTAATGTCACCGGACTAGGAATCTAGTGACCCAGGCTCATTCTCTAGGGGCAGGGACTCAAATCCCACCACGGCAGCTGGTAGAATTTAAATGCAATTGTAAATGTGAAATGTAAAGCTTTTCTCATTGACGGTGACTGTGAAACTATCATCACATTAGTTGATAAATTATCATCTCCGTTTAGGGAAATATACAACAGGATGAGGCCTGCATGTGACTCCAAATGCAAAACAGTGGCGTTGACTCTTAATTGTCCTCTGAAATGTCCCTGGCAATTAGGGACAGACAAGCAATTCTGGTCTTGCCAAGGCTTGCCACATGAAAGAATGACAGGAAGAGATTGGTAAAAGAACGAGACAGGGAGAATTTCATTACGCAGTGAGTTGCGTTCTGCAACATGCCAAATGATGGTGTTCCCATGCATCTGCCCCCCCTTGTCCGTCTGAGTGGAAGAGGTGTGACGATGCTGTCACCTTAAGAAATTATTTTGTCCTGTTTGAAAAGAGATTGTAAGGCCGAGGAGCTGAGCAGTCTGGGGTAAACAGTTTGGGAGGCCTTGGGTTTTTGTTTAATGCAGCCTGAATGGGTGTGCTGAGCTCTCACAGATCAGGATTTCTGAGTTTCGCCTTTTCAGTAGAATCAGAAGCTGTTTCGAAGGTCTCGAGTTGGAAGCTTCCGTGAATGTCTCCTGGCTGCTACTCTCTCTGAATTTTCTCTTTATGTTTTTTCCCCTCCTTGATTGGAGAACTGGATGTGAGAATCTGTGTCTGAATTTGCCTTTTTGCCCAGGGGTGCGTTTATCGGATGTTACTATATTGGAACAGTTAATTAGTAATAGTTACCATATCTATTGTTCGGTTAAGTTTTCCAATAGAGAGAAGTTATTCTAAATTCTTATTTCTTTGGTTGTATCTTAACTACAGTTAGAGAGTCATAGAGTCACACATCACAGAAATAAACCCTGCAGTCCAACCAGTCCATGCTGAACATAATCCCAAACTAAACTAGTCCCACCTGTCTGCTCCTGGCCCATATCCCTCCAAACCTTTCCTATTCATGTACTTATCCAAATGTCATTTAAATATTGTAGCTGTACCCGCACCCACCACTTTCTTTGGAAGATCATTCCACACGCGAACAACCCTCTGTGTAAAAAATTTTCCCCATATCTTTTTTAAACCTCTCTCCTCTCACCCTAAAAATGTGTCCCTGGTCTTGAAATGCGCTATCCTCGGGAAAAGACAACTACCATTAACTCTATGTGTACCCCTCAGTACTTTATGAATTTCTATCAGGTCACCTCTCAGCCCCCTATGCTCCAGTGATAACAGTCACACCCTATCCAGCTTCTCCTTATAACTCAAACCTTCCATCCTGGTGAATCTGTCCAGCTTAATAATATCCTGTGTTTTTCTTAACGTCGAGTAGTTTGACCAATCGAATTGTATCTGGAACACAGCACTTCACAACTGCCTTTAAAGTAAGAAAACGTTAGGGTCTAGGCTACCTTCTTAAAATATTCTGGGGGGGTCTGGTCTGGCCAGGTTTCTCACAGAGGTCACGAGTTTGGAAGGTGGAGACTCGGCTGCGGTGCTTTTGACATTGTAACCCCCTTTATTTTGTGTTGTCAGTGGTTTGGATAACCTGCTTCCTTCACGGTGTCCGTACCTTCTGAAAGTGGCGTTGAGCCAAACGTTAATCTTAGTGCTGGCATTGTGCAGAGCAGTCCTGTCATCGACATTAAATGTTTGGCCCGTTCCAGCAAGGAGCTGAGCAGGAACGGGAGAGGGTGTTGGGGGTTCAGGTTTGGGAGAGAACGCGAAGGTGACTTACCGACGGGTGTACACCTGTATTTTCCGTTCTTCTTCAAGGCACACACCGAGTTCTCTACACATTTGTGCCTCTTGCAGTGCACTTGCCCTTTCCTGCAGGTACACTTTGTGTCACAGCGCTTGTTCAGCCAATTATCACCTGCCTGTGTACAAACACACATTGGAAAATGTTAAAGATAACAAGGTATAGGGCTGGATGAACACAGCAGGCCAAGCAGCATCATAGGAGCAGGAAGGCTGACGTTTTGGGCCTAGACCCTGCGTCAGGCTCCCTCCTTGTTTGAAACCAAAACACCCACACAGGCTGTGGTGGGGGTGGGGGGGGAGGTTGCGTGGTGGGGGTGGTGGTGGTTGGTGTTGCTGTTTCTCATCTTTCCTACAGCAGGGAAACCAGAACCGAACATGTTGGAGGCAGTTCAGAGGAGATTTACCGGACTAATTCCTGGAACGGAGAAGGTAGTTCTGCGAAATAGGTTGGATATGCTGCGCTTGTATCCACTGAAGAGTAAGAGGTGACTTGATTGGAATAGGTACGATCACTGGGGTGGCTTGATGGCTCAGTGGTTAGCACCCCTGCCTCACAGTGCCAGGGACCTGGGTTTGATTCCAGCCTTGGGTCTGTGTGGAGTTTGCACGCATGTCCCCATGGGTTTCCTCTGGATGCTCTGGTTTCCTCCCACAGTCCAAAGATGCGCAGATTAGGGTGGATTGCTGTGCTTAAATTGCCCATTGTGTCCAGGGTTGTGTAGGTTGGATGTATTAGCTATGGGAAATGCAGAGCTTACAGGGATGGGGCTGGGTGGATGGGTGGGATGCTGTTTAGAGGGTCGGTGTGGCCTTGTTGGGCTGAATGGGGTTCTACGGGTCTTGAATGGGGACAGAGAGAGATCTGTCATTGGAGAATCTGGATCCAGGGGTGGGGTCACTGCTTAAAAATCAGGGGTTGCCCCTTTAAAACAGAAATCATGAGAGTTTTGTTTCCTTTCAGTTGTTCATGAAAGTTTGGAAATCTACCTGAAAAGTGGTGGCGGCAGTGTTAGAAAGATTCTTAGAAAGGTGTTCAAAGGTTATTAGGGCAGAGACAGAATGTGGATTTGAGGCTCCAATCAGATCAGCCGTGATCTTATTGAATAGTGGCTCAGGCCTGAGGGGCTGAGTGGCCAGCTCCTGCCCCTTGTTCACAAGCGATTCTGTTAAACTGTGGAGGGTGTCAGGTCCCAAAAGCCAAGGGCGTGATTGGAAATGCCATGCGCGTCCTCTGTAACCCACCGGCCCCACCAACCTCCACAGATGGCCGAGATGGGACGCCAACCATTACCTCATGGTAGTTGCCATTGTAGTCAACGCAGCCACAGTCAGCCAAAGCTACGCAGCGATCGTTGCTCAGCACAAAGTTCTTGTCGCACTCGCAGCCCTCCACGCACGGCCGGTGGGTCTCACAGTTCGAGGGGGCATAGATGTCTGTGCAGGTAGCTGGGCAGGCTGTGGCACACTCAGTGTAGTGGCTGTGCTTTTGGCAGGGCAGGGCTGGAGGGCGAAAGCAGATGTCAGTGAAACACGGGCTGACTGCTGACTTTACCACACACTCTGTCAGAACTGTTACAGTGAGAATCGCAAGACAGTCTCAATATCTCCTAGCACCACCTAACAGGTCAACCAGCCCGTTGTGCTCTGAGGGACCTTGCTGTTTACAAGTAGGCTGAATGGCCTCCTCTTGTGTAACAGGCTTGAGGGGCTGAATGGCCTCCTCCTGTATAACACACTTAAGGGGCTGAATGGCCTCTTCCTGTATAACAGGCTTGAGGGGCTAAATGGCCTTTCCCTGCGTAACAGTCTTGAGGGGCTGAATGGCAGGTATCAGCTGAGTCAGCCTTCCAGTTACCTCCCTTGCTTCAACGGCCTGTAAACTCTGACAGCTCCTGTGAATGAGCAGCCTTCAGGAGAACAGGGCGGTGTGCATGCTGTGATGGTATGGAGCGGGGAGCTTGTAAAAGCCGCTTGAGGTCTGTGTCACTTACGACAGAAGGTGGTGTTCCTCCACTTAATGTCGATGCCCTCGCTCTTGCAGGCTTCGATGTAGGACTGGATATTATCGCAGAGGGTGGAGATCATGCCAGAGTACATGCACATGTCGAACACGCAGTTCTCAATGAATGGCGCTGGCTTCACAACGCTGTGGCATTGCTGGTACTTGGCTGATAACAGCTCCTGGCACTGTGCTGCCCACGCCTTCTTATCTTCGGCCTTACACATCGGATTCAGATCCTCCCGGTCATCAGACTTGCAGCTGAATGACAAAAAGGCAGCATGAGTCAGTGAGTCAGCTCCACCTGCTCCACAGGACCACGGGCCCAACCCTAACGTTTTTTTTGGCGGGGAGGGACCGGTGTGGGGCATAGGTTCCATTCCCAACTCGGCAACTGTTGGAAACTAAAGTAAATTAGATAATAAATCTGGAAGATCGAGCTGTAAATGGCTAACATGAAACTACTGTTAGTTGCATACAGTTCTGGTCTCCACACTACCAGAAGGATGTAGATGCTTTGGAAAAGGTTTACCAGCATGTTGGGGGACTTTAGCTGTGAAGAAAGGTTGGATAGACTGGGCTTGTTTTCACTGGAACATAGGAGGTTGAGGGGCGACCTGATAGAAGTTTATGAGATTGTGAATGGCATGGATAGAACAACATAGAACATACAACATAGAACAGTACAGCACAGTACAGGCCCTTCGGCCCACGATGTTGTGCCGAGCTTTTACCCTAAACCTAAGGACTATCTAACCTCCACCCCTACCTGAGTGGAAAGTATGAGGCTCTTCCCAGGGTGGAGGGGTCAATTACTAGGGGACACAGGCTCAAGGCGCAGGGGGAATGTTTAAAAGAGATGTGCGAGGCACGTTTTTCACACAAAGGGCGGTGAGTGCCTGGATGCACTGCCAGAGAAGGTGGTGGAAGCAGACATAATAGCAGCGTTCAAGAAACACCTGGACGAGTACATGAATAGGAAGGGAACAGAGGGATATGGAACCTGTAAGTGAAGACAGTTTTAGTATGGAAGGGCACAAATGTGACAGCGCAGGCTTGGAGGGCCCAAAGGGCCTGTTTCTGTGCTGTAGTGTTCCCTGTTCTTTGATCTAATTGTTGGTAAAATCCACCTGGTTCACGACAAGCCAGAACGCTACCTACCTGCTGGTACTACGTTTTAATTTTTAAAGTGGCCGGTAGAAAGATGAGCTGAGAGATGAGGATGTATTTTTTTCACCGAAATGGACAGGAGTCTGGAACCCAATGGCCGAGAGGATCGGATAGGCAGAAATTCCCCAGTTCATTGAAAAGATATCTAGATCTATACCTTGAGTACTGTAGCCTGAAAGGTTACAGACTGAGCACTGAGAAAAGGGATTAGCTTGGGGTAATTTGTTGTATGGCCGTTCCAGACATGAGGGGCAGAGTTGTTCCTTTCCAACATTCTATGACTTGCCATTGGCTGCAAAGGGCTTTGGTATATCCAGAGATTGGAAAAAGGGGCTATACAAATGCACCTTGTTTTCTTTTCACCCTTGCTCTCCTTTCTCTTACCGTGAGTCCTTGTCATTTTCGATCTGCCAACTGTTGCCAAACTGGGTGACGTTTTTACCCTGGAGACCATTGGGCATTAGGAGCTCGTCAGTTTGGTTATTGTTAAAGTTTCCGCACATGCCACACACCTGGAATAAATACAGGAGGTTACTGATGTGACTCTGAACAGCTCTCTCCTTTAACAACCTTATAGAGAGGAGCAGGGCCCCTCGATCCAACATAATCACAACTGGTTTCCAACCTCAACTCCATTTGTCCACCTGATTCCCCGATTCCTTTAGAATTCAGAGCTCGACAGCAGAGAAGGAGGCCATTCAGCCCATTAAATCCCTGTTAGCTTGCTCTTGAGCAAACAGCCTGTCCCATTCCCCTCCACTCTATACCCCTGCGTGTTTAATTCCCTCATCAGCCTGCCCCATTCCCCTCTGCTCTATCCCTGCACGTTTAATTCCCTCATCGGCCTATCCCATTCCCCTCTGCTCTATCCCTGCAAGTTTAACTCCCTCTTCAGCCTGTCCCATTCCCCTCTGCTCTATCCCTGCAAGTTTAATTCCCTCATCAGCCTATCCCATTCCCCTCCGCTCTGTCCTTGTGTGTTTAATTCCCTCATCAGCCTGTCCCATTCCCCTCCGCTCTATCCCTGCAAGTTTAATTCCCTCATCAGCCTATCCTATTCCCCTCCGCTCTGTCCTTGTGTGTTTAATTCCCTCATCAGCCTGTCCCATTCCCCTCCGCTCTATCCCTGCACGTTTAATTCCCTCAAGTGCCTGCCCAGTCACCTTTCAAAATCATTCAGCGTTTTTCAAATCTAAACCTGGCCTCCATCTCGAAAATCTGTCTTGAATATACTTTTTCTGGGGCAAAGGATTCCAAATAACTTGAAAAACCCTCTGAAGGGATTTCTCCTCATCTCAGTTTGAACCCTAATCTGACGATTACAGCCCCTAGTTCTAGACTCTTAAAAGGAATCACCCCACAAACATGTGTACATGTATATACAGGAATAGGTCACCCACGAGCCTGCTCTGTCCACTAATAAGATCACAGCTGATCCGATAACTCCACATTCCCATTCTACCCTGGATAACCTTTCACCTGTCCATTGCTTATCAAGAATCTATCCACTTCTGCCTTAAAAACAGTCAGAAGTCACATGACACCAGGTTATAGTCCATTTCTGAAGAAGGGTCTAGGCCCGAAACGTCAGCTTTCTGGCCCCTCTGATGCTGCTTGGCCTGCTGTGTTCATCCAGCTCTACAACTTGTTATCCCACGTTATAGTCCAAAAGGTTTATTTGAAATCTTTTGGAGATTTCAAAGCGCTGCCCCCTCGTCAGGTGAAATGTTTTAAGGACTCCTTCAAAATATTTCAAAGACTCTGCCTCTGCCACCTTTTTCAGTTTAAGAGTTCCGAAGATTCACGATCCTCAAGTGAGAAAAAAAAAATTCTCCCCACCTCTGTCCTAAACAGGCAATCCCTTATTTTCAAATAATGACCCTTAGGTAGCTGGTAGGTAGTGTCAAGAAGCATCCACTCCCTCCACCACCGATGCTCAGTAGCAACAGCGTGTACCATCAACAAGATGCACTGCAGTAATTCACCGAAAGATCTTCAGACAACACCTTCCAAACCCACAAATCACTACCGTCTAGAAGGTCAGGTGCAGCAGAAGCGTGGGAACACCACCCACTGCAGATTCCCTTCCGAGCCACTGCCCATCCAAACTTGGAAACATGTTACTGCTCCTTCAGTATTGCTGGGTCAAAATCCTGGAACTTCTTTTCCAGTAGCACTGTGATTGGTCCCCTAAACTGCAGCAGTTCGAGACTCAGAGAATCCTTACAGTGCAGAAGCAGGCCATTCAGCCCATCGAGTCCACAGTGACCCTCTGAAGAGCATCCCAGTCAGACCCACCCCCTACCCTATCCCCGAAACCCTGCATTTCCCCACGGCTAATCCACCCAGCCTGCACATCACTGGGCACTACGGGACAATTTAGCATGGCCAATCCATCCTAACCTGCACATCTTTGGACTGTGGGAGGAAACCGGAGCACCTGGAGGAAACTCCACACAGACACGGGGAGAATGTGCATACTCCACACAGAGGGTGGGATCGAATCTGGGTTCCTGGTGCCGTGAGACAGCAGTGCTAACCACTGAGCCATCCTGGTGGGAGCAAATGCTAGCCCTTACAGTGACACTCATATCCTAAGAATGAATTAAAGAAAAAAATAACATAACGTTAACAGCACAGAAGTAGGCCATTCAGCCCATCTGCTCTGTAATGGTGTATCAGCCCCATACAAGCATCCTCCAAATACACTTTCAACATGCCTCCAATATATCCTTATTTCTCCATCATGTGTTTATCCAGTTTCCCTTCAAACTCATTGACATTATCCACCTGTTGGAGTGAGTCACACAGACCCCCCCACCTCTGCGTGTGTAGGTATGTCAGCCAGACCGGTCGCCCCGTCTCACCTTTCCAAAGTACGTGTTTGGCAGTTTAATCTCAAGGTGATGGTTGCCATCGAACCTGACCATCAGCCCAAACTTGGTCTCCAGGACGTTGTAGATGCCGCTGGAGTAGATGTTGACTCCAATTATATTGTTCTCAAATGGTGTCCTGATCATCTTATCGTTGAGCTGTAAAGGAAGAACGAAAGGGACGTCCTGTGATTACCAAGCTGGTGAGTGTGAGTCACTTTCAGGAAAGCCACAGGCAACCATTTAGTGATTCTAGCCTCACCGCTAGCCCAGTGCTAGACTGACCTCCCAGTGGCCTCCCTGTGTCTCTCCAATGCTTCTCGAGCAGCTAGCGGAAGTGAGAAACAAGTGGTGGGTCCCCAAGTCCAAATCCAATTCCAGAAAGGATGTAAACACACTGTATAGGGCACATGGTTGTTGTCAGGACAGGGAAAAATGTAGCTTAAGAGGTTGTTCTTCTTGAGGTTGAGGCGAGATTTGGTTGAGATGCACAGAAATGTGAGGGTCCTGGAAGGAAGGATTTATTATCAGTGTTCTATCTAAACTGCGTAATTGTTCAGAGGATTTTGCAATAACTAATCAGTGCGCCTCACATGGACATGAGAAGGAACACAGCCTATTGCTCTCAACGGAGGAGTCAGTGACTAAGTCGGGGGGGGAGGGCATGGATTTAAAGTGAGTGGAAGAAAGTTAGAGGGGACATGACAAATAACCCTTTCACCCAGAGGGTGACTGGTGCTTGGGACTCCCTCCCTGAGAGGATTGGAGAGGCAAACACCCTCAACTCATTGTGTCTGGATGTGCACATCAAACATTGTAACCGGCAGGGCTATAGTCTGAATACTGGGAAGAGGAATTATGCAGGGTGGCATGGTGACAATGGGCAGAGTGGCCTCTTTCCCTGCCATAAGCTTTCTGTGTTTCTTAAGGTGTTTAGGACAGTAATCTCCACCGCTAAGGGAAGGTGTGTCACATGTTTTACTTTTCCCATTAACCGTCGGGAATTTGGGGACCAGCTGTATTCAGAATATAAATGAACATCGGATTGTGCCTGTGTCCCCGGCTGAGGTTTTTCCACGTGTGAGTGGCTGCGGGAAATTCGACTGTGAGGAGCATCACGCCCAATCCTGACCATGTGACGAGCTGTCTAGTAGGAAAGCCAGTAACCAGCTTGTGAGGCCTTGGTGTTTTTTCTTAAAAGTTAGAACAATAGAAGCAGCCTGACTGGGTGTGGTCAAGCTCCCAGCCACAGATGCAGGGATTTTTAGTTTAGCTTTCAGCAGTTGTTGCTCGGGTCTCAGTAGGGTTGGAAGGCACTGAATCTCTCCTGGCTGCTACACTGTGTCTCTCTCTGAATTGTCTTTTGATGTTCTATCCGCCTGGATTGGAGAACTGCATGTGAGACAATCTGTTTCTGAATTTGTCTTTTTGCCAAGGGTGTTTTATAGGATATTACTGTATTGGAGCAGTTACCTTTAAGTGGTAAAGTAATCCATTATTCTGTCAAGTTTTCCAGTAAAGTTATCCCAAGTTCCTCATTCTTTTATTTGTATTTTACCTGTAGTGTTTGAATAAATTGTGTTTTGCGTAATGTCGAGTAGTTTGACAGATTGAATTGCATCCGGAACACAGCACCTCACATTTATCCTCATCTCACGCCTTCCTTTAAAATCGGAAAAAGTTAGGGGCTAGGCTACCTTCTTAATATATTTTGAGGGAGTCTGCTGTGGTCCACAACAGCGGTGAGGAGAGGCGGCTCCCTGTGGGTCACCAGTCTGGAACAGAGCCTTTTCCTTCACTCGCGATCGAAGAGACCCAGTCCCCAAACCCCACGCACCTCACCACGGCTACTCCTGAGAGCTGTTAGTGGATCAGGAAACCAGCTGTAGTCAGAGGGCAGTGGGTTCAAGTCCCACCCCGAGCACATTAAGACAGGACGCAGAGCTCTCTTCGACCAAATGGCTGGCAAGTTTCCGACATTGTTGTTTGCGGCTCTGTTTCGCTGGTTTTAGGAAATCGGGGCACCCAAATATCAATGAGTATTACTTCCCTGTCATCCTTCTGACTGACAAACTACAGCAGTATATCCTGGTAAAAGCGGGATTCTTTCCCTTGAGAAATGCAACCTCTGGAGGACTGTGTGACAACGTTGTTGACGAAATGTGGAAAATCAGCCCCGTGTTGCAGCCAAGTCTGCAGCTATGATTGGATACGGGAACAGGAGGAGGCCATTCAGCCCCTTCGAGCCTGCATGACTGCAATGCCGTTTCCCCACATTATCCCTGTACCCCTTGGTGTGATTAGTATGTGGAAACCTGGCGATCTCTGACTTGAATGTACCCATCGTTTGCACCTGTGAGAGGGAATTTCGAAGCTTCACTAGCCTCTGAGTGAAGAAATTCCTCCTCATTCCCAGCCTTAAAAGGCCTGCCCCTTATTTCGAGATCTGTGTTCCCCAGGTCTAGACCCTCCTGGTCCCCAGACAGGGGGAAATGTGCTTCCTGCACCTGCTCTATTTTGGAATTCTGAATAAAATTACCCCTCATTTTTCCACACTGTAGAGAATACAGACTCAGCCTTTTCAATCTCACGACATAAAACAGCCTTGCAATCCCAAAGATTAGTATGATTGATGAACTAATTAGCATTAAAAATGACCTTTAAGGCAGGAATTATTTTCATTATTCTCCCCTGAATAATTCGCAAAGTCGTCATTCCCCAGGGAAAGTGACGCCCTTTGAATAATCGCTTTGTTTTCTCATCTGATCCCAATTAATAATTTGCAGCGATTTTCTACATCCAGTGGTAGGCACTGGCCCTAAAGGGGAGTTTCCCAAATTTACCAGCAGGATCACAATGTGCAGCCGTGGAAAAGCCACACCGGCCTTTGTAAAGACGCGTGAGGATCTTTAACATAGCGCCGAACAAGTTGCCGACAGCTGCATCATTCTGCAGGGACCCACCAGTAACCTTCTGCTCTTCTGCATGGTGATGCTGAGCCCTTCGACGTCGATGTGGACCTCGCTGAGGTAGGAGGCGTACGGCATTCCCCGCTGCTCGTTCTTGCCACTGATGGTGAATGGCGTCACCATAGTGGAGTTGCAGGTGGTGACCAGGGTGTAGGTGCAGGTGCCCAGGAAGGTGTGCATGGCATTGTCGAAGGTGTAGTAGTGAGGGTCACCGGCAACGTGGCAGGAGGCTGTGCCTATTTGGAAAGGGCGACACGCAAAAGTAGGTCAAAGGGAAACAAACAGCAAGGCAGCATCAACTTGAACCTGTGCCCCTCCTTCAGTACATAGCAATGGGGCATTTTTATCTGAGATTCTTGAGGAAGAGATATAGAGATCCCCTGGGGACCCCCCCCCACCCACCCACCTCCCCCGTAAATACTGACACGCTCCCCCTCTCCCTCGGGGACCCCCCTGTAAATACTAACTCACTCCCCTCTCTCCCCCAGGGACCCCCCCCATAAATACTGACACACTTCCCCCCCACCCTTCAGGGACCCCCTGTAAATACTGACGCACTCCCCCCTTCCCTCGGGGACACCCCTGTAAATACTGACACGCTCCCCTCCTCTCCTGGGGACCCTCCTGTACATACTGACACACGTTTCCCCCCCACCTCCCTTGGGGACCTCCAGTGTAAATACTGACTCACTTCCCTCTCCCTCGGGGACTCTCCCTGTACATACTGACACATTCCCCCCCTCCCTCAGGGACCCCCCTGTAAATACTGACTCACTCCCCCCTTCCCTCGGGGACCCCCCTGTAAATACTGACACGCTCCCCCCCTCTCCCGGGGACCCCCTCTGTAAATACTGACACGCTCCCCCCCACTCCCTCGGGAACTGACATGCACAGGGAAAAGAGCAGCAACATTTTCTCATCCCCCGCAGAATCAACATGAGAACGAAATCACACAGTCAGGTGGCTGTTTGTGGGATCTTCCTGTGTGCAGGTTGGGTGACTTCAGGGCTTCGAAAGCTTTTGGACATCCTGACGTTGTGAAAGATTTGGGATTTTCACTCAGGGCAGCGAGGAGTTGGAGGTGAATTGCGGGTTTGGCGAAGTAACAGGACTGTACAACATTTCTGAAGAAGGGTCTAGGCCCGAAACGTTAGCTTTCCTGCTCCTCTGATGCTGCTTGGCCTCCTGTGTTCATCCAGCTCTACACCTTGTTATCTCAGATTCTCCAGCATCTGCAGTTCCTACTATCTCTGTACAACACTCTTGTTCCCTTGCTGGGGGCATGTCACTATTGGGATCAGAGTTTCTGTAATGTACATGTCCTGCCACCACATGGCAATGTTGCGCTGTGTGCCAACCAGAGTCTCTCAAACTTTCTAAAAACCAAAATAGCTGCGGATGCTGTAAATCAGGAACGAAAACAGAAGTTGCTGGAAAAGCTCAGCAGGTTTGGCAGCATATGTGGAGAAAAAAATCAGAGTTAACCCTTCTGAGGAAGGGTCACTGGACTCGAAACTGCTGAGCTTTTCCAGCAACTTCTGTTTTTGTTCCTTTTGAACTTTCGCTCAGAGACACTCCATTTCTGAGGAGCAGGAATTGAAAACACTCAACACAACATCGGTTTGGGGAAGTTTGTTAGAGTGGGGTTGGAGTCAGGACATAGCCCCTTTCTCATGCTAAATGCTGCTCTGTGGCGTGGTTACGTGCCCAGTTTGAATGTTAGGGACTAGATCTAGTGGGAAATGGGTGAGGTGGGTTGTAGGTAAACTGGGTACATGGCTGGAGGGTAAGTGGGTCATGGGGCAGTTGAGTGAGTTTGTGAGGGGTAGTCTGGTGGGATGGATAGTCAGATCTGATCGTGAGGGAGAGTGATATTTATAAAGTCAGCTTTGAGTTTGGTCACAGTGTCATCCTTGAGTTAGATACAGAGTAATGCTCTCTCTACATTGTCCCCAGCAAACACTCCCAGGATAGGGACAGCACAGGGTTAGATACCGAGAAAAGCTCACTCTACACTGTCCCCTATCAAACACTCCCAGGACAGGGACAGCACGGGGTTAGATACAGAGAAAAGCTCACTCTACACTGTCCCCTATCAAACACTCCCAGGATAGGGTCAGCATGGAGTTGGAAACATAGTAAAGCTCTCTCCACACTGTCCCCAAACACTCCGAAGACAGGGACAGCACAGGATAGACACAGAGTAAAGCTCTCTCTACACTGTCTCCCATCAAACACTCGGAGGACAGGGGCAGCACAGGGTTAGATACAGAGTAAAGCTCTCTCTACACTGTCCCCCCATCAAGTACTCCCAGGACAGGGACAGCACAGTATTAGATACAGAGTAAATCTCCCTCTACAATGTCTCCCATTAAACACTCTCAGTTGCTGCATGGATTCAAACACAAGTTAACAGCCATGCTGGTGTTGAGATATATACAGTGCAGAATTCATTCTGACTTGTGTCTTGTCCGCTCCCTGACCTGATGTGTGACAGTCCAGGACTCCGTCCAGGACCTTGCACTTGTCCAGGGGCCCACACTCCCAGTCCTCACACGTGATGTTGCTGGGGCCGGAGCAGGTACAACGTTTGGTGCAATTTCCGTTCGCCATCCAGGACTCTCCCAGCTGTTGAGAGATTGACAGGGGCATCAGTGATTTTATTTACTTCTTCTCGGTGTGCCATTTTCTGCTGTTCTGTGCAGTACCTCAATCCCCAACAGAGCCCATGCTCACTGACCTAGACTGGCTTGCTGCCTGGTGACAACTCGTTTTAACAATTCTCTGATTGTATTCAATTGCTGTGTCTAGCCCTAAACTGTTTGACAACAGTGTAGCCTCTGAACCTGGCTGCTTGTAGATCTCCCAATACCCATCACTCCACCATCAGTGGCCGTGCCTCCAGTTTCCTGGGGGGCCTAAGCCCAATAAAACCCTCTGCCTCTCCCTCCTCCTTTAGGATGCTCCCTGAACTGTATTAGGCACCGGTTTCTGGTCTCCTTGTGCTGTGCTTATGGAGAGGCAGATCGACTGAGTGAATCCTGTAAGAATTGCACACCCCAATTCTGGGCAGGCAGATTACATTGCAGTGCACAGGGGATGGAATTTCCTCCTCACAGGCGGAGGAATGACAAGGCCAACTGGATCAGCTACTGTAGACTGGGACCCCCCCTACTCCGATGGCTCCTGGGTAACCCCTATCCCAGGGTTCAGAGCCATGGGGTGGAGGAGGGGTAGGGGGGGCAGGGTTGGCAGTGGGTGAGAGCCACAGGGATTTTGCATTGTTATGGAGTGGGGTCTATCCATGGAGACGATCATAGAGTATTGTCAGAGGCCATTTGGCCCATCCTGCACAGTGGCGGCCGCTTTGAAAGAGATTTCCAATTAATTCCACAAACCCCTCTGCCTTCCCACAACATATCCCTCCCTGTGTGTTTGCAAATGTATCCTCTTCAAGCATTTACCCCCTTTGGAAAGTGCCTGCTCAATCCATTTCCTCTGCCTTTTCAGGCACCCCACTTCACAGCAACTCACTGGCTTTTAATGTTTATCCTTGCCTGAACTTTGGTTCTTTTGTTGATGATCTTCCATCTGTGTCCCCTCGGTTACCGACCCTACTGTCTCCATTTTTAGCCAATTGAAAGCCTTTGAGATTTTGAACAGCTCGATTAAGTCTCTCTTTAACCTTCTCTGCTTGAATCCTGGCTTCTCCTGCCTCTCTGCATAACTGAATTCTCTTATCCCACAAGCATTCCAGGAAATTCCATGTGGGGCAGCCCGGTGGCTCAGTGGTTAGCACTGCTGCCTCACAGCACCAGGGACCCGGGTTTGATTCCACCCTCGGGGGACTCTGTGTGGAGTTTGCACATTCTCCCTGTGTCTGCGTGGGTTTCCTCTGGGTGCTCCGGTTTCCTCCCACAGTCCAAAGATGTGCAGGTTAGGGTGGATTGGCCATGCTAAATTGTCCCGTAGTGTTCAGGGATGTGTAGATTAGGTGGGTTATGGAGGGATGGGTCTGGGTGGGATGCTGCAAGGGTCGGTGTGGACTTGTTGGGCCTGCTCCCACACTGTGGGTATTCTTAAAAAAAAATTCTGTGTTCCAGGACAAGTTTGGGTCTTTGACCAATGGAGTGAGAAGTCAGGAAGGAATGTTATTAAACTGGAAAAGGGTACAGAGATTTACCAGGATGCTGACGGGACTGGAGGGTTTGAGTTATAAGGAGAGGTTGGATAGGCTGGGGATTTGTTCTTTGAAGCATCAGAGGCTGAGGGGTGACCTTATAGAGGTTTATAAAATCATGAGGGGCCTGGATAAGCTGAATAGCCAAGGTCTTTTTCCCCAGGGTAGGGGAGTCCAAAACTAGAGGGTATAGGTTTAAGGTGAGAGGAGAAAGATTTAAAAGGGACCTGAGGGGCAACTTTTTCACGCAGAGGGTGGTGTGTGTATGGAATGAGCTGCCAGAGGAAGTGGTGGAGACTGGTACAATTATAACATTTAAAATGCATCTGGATGGGTACATGAATAGGAAGAGTTTAGAGGGTAATGGGCCAAATGCTGGCAAAGGGGACTAGATGAATGTAGGATATCTGGTAGGCATGGACAAGTTGGACCGAAGGGTCTGTTTCCATGTTGTACATCTCTATGTTTAAGAGGGGTGAGGGATGATTTAAGAACAGAATGAAGGAGCACAAGCCTTATCTGTGCACCTTGTCCTCGTAATTTACCCTTTAGACCTAGCGACACCTTGGTCTTTATTGTTCAGGGATTGGAGTACAGGAATAAAACAATGTTTTCTACAGTTGTTCAGGGTTTTGAGTCAAACCACACCCAGCATACAACGTGCAATTTTGGTGCAATATTGAGGTGATACACCAAAGACTAACGAGACTGGTCCCTGTGATAAGGGGATTGCCCTATGGCGGGAGGCTGAGCAAACTGGGTCAAAATTCTCTGCAACTTGGAAAAATGAGAAATGCTATTATTGAAACCTACAAGACTCGGAAGGGACTTGACAGGGTAGACACTGAGATTGTTTCCCCTGGTCATTGGGTCGGGATGGGGAGCACGGATTTGGGATATGGGGTCGATCTTTTCAGGCTGAGATGAGGAGAAATTCCTTCAGCCAGAGGGTGGGGAGTCTCTAGAATTTTCTCCCACACAGCGATGCTCTGTCATTGAATTTATCAAAAGCTGGGATCGACAGGATCTCGCTCTCTCTCTCTCGAGGATTTGATTGGATAAGGGGAGCATACAGGAAAGTGGAGTTAAAGCCCAGGAGCACGGTGGCTCAGTGGTTAGCGCTGCTGCTTCACGGTGCCAGGGACCCAGGTTTGATCCCACCCTCGGGCGACTGTCTGTGTGGAGTTTGCACATTCTCCCCGTGTCTGCGTGGGTTTCCTCCGGGTGCTCCGGTTTCCTCCCACGGTCCAAAGATGTGCAGGTTAGTGTGGAGTGGACATGCTAAATTGTCCCCTAGAGCCCAGGGATGTGCGGGTTAGGGTGGATTGGCCGTGCTAAATTGTCCCGTAGTGCCCAGGGA